TATTTATTTACGCTTTCATACTGATCCGAGTATCGTCTACATATCAATCATATCTTCTGATATATATCCTTATATTTTTAGTTAATCAAAAATCATATGTTTTTGTTTTTCTGTGAAACAATAGTACAAGTTAACCGCGGAATAGCATATTTAGTAAACAAATATACACGTTTGAAGACCGCTAACAAATCTGAGCAATAAACACGTATAAATTTTACTATGAATTCGTTAACACATAGCTAACAGATGCCTTAATTGTATGATAACCATATTGAAGTTATAACTCAACTGTGTCATGTGAATGCGATTAGAATCCCTCTGACAATGTGATCAATTCCATCAGTTAACATTTTATGCAAACTGTACATGAAAAAAGTAAACAGTCGTTTTTTGTATAACTATTTATCATTTTAACAAAGTTAACGTTACTTTAAAGTCTATTAAATTTAATTCAATTTTAATTGCATTCGTTAACAGATAATAGAAAAACATTTTTGTTGACGTATAAACTGTAATAAAATAAAAAAAAGTTCTCACTGTATACAATGAAGAGTATATTAAGTATTTTGTATCTATCTATACTTCTATACTAATATAATAAAGCATAAACACACACTATTTTGTGGCGTAGGATGTCAGCAATCACAGCATATTTTTGAATATCTGTTTCTTCAATAAAATGCCCTACACTTACAACACGCTTTTGGCTATATATTTTCAAGCTATTAAACTTAGGGGTAAATAAATTGGATAAAACCTTCACGTGAGAAAGGGCCTATAAACTACAAGCTGCCAACATCTAGGTAGTAATTATCATTTGTGCTTGACAAATGTTAACAATAAAATATAGTTTTTATATTTTCATGCGTATGAAGCCGCACGGGCAAAGCTAGTAATTAATAAAAAAGTGTGTGATGTTAACATCATTGAATTTCTTGGTAACAATGATAATTATCCTGAAATGTTTCTCAATTCGTTGTGAAATTATATAAATTGATTTGAATAGGATTAATATAGATGCATAGGGGCTCGTAATTCATCTGTTTTAAAGGGTTAACATTAAGTAATTGGTAATGGCAGTGAATTGTACGATTGAAATTTAGTTGATATTTAAAAATAAGCATAGTTGGTATTATATTAATTATAATATCAAAAGTTGTATCAAATACATACGATGGCGATGACTTACGGTTTGTTAATTTTCCTTATCATCTGAGCCTTGCTTTAAACCATGATCTCCATTTTATATGAACAGCCTTCATATACAATGACAACAGTGGTCCTGTTAATGTTCATTAAAAATACCGTAACAATTTTCATTTACAAGTTAATTTTTAAATGATTTTGCACCAATTTTTATCTTTATATATGCATTACTTATTTCTTTATTATAATCTTAAATATGTTTTAACTCGAGATACTGAAAAACGACAGAAAACATGCAAATAATCTTATTAATCATAAATAACATTATGATTAATTAATAAAATTATTAGTACTCGTGTAATTAAATCTAAAAGCACGAGACCTTGATAATTCATAATTATCAATAATTATAACATATGTATAATTTTTAGTGTATTTTAATAGTTTTCTCTAAGTAGCTAAATAAATATGGCGTATCGTCATTACGAAGAGCGATACAATTGCCTCAATTATACATTTCTTGCTATTACTATAGGATGTTACCACAATTACGATAAACAATGACAGTAATAATTGCCCCTTTTAATATCATACCTTTAACCACTTTATTAACCGCTTCTTACTCCCATATTCCAGATCTCTTAGTGTCCAAATTAACACAAATTATTCAAAGCACATCAATAAAACAAAGTGTAACTTAAGATAATTAAAGTTATTATGATGAAGAACACATAATGGTCCAACCTTCAAATATCTGCGGAGATATTCAAAGATGTGTGAAGTCAACCAATCTGCACTAAGTCTACATGGGTAACTGAAACTTGTCTCATGGATTTGGTGGGGACGACTGTTAGCTGAAAAGTTGCTAGGCTGTGATATATCTTAGTAATATAAATTTTTGATCTTATAGAGATTTAAAACATTACACACGATGTTTTTTTTTGTTAATGAATAAAATGTTGCTAGTATCAAAATTTAGTTAACATGTACATATTGTAAAACGAGGTTTATTGAAATGTGTTTCCTTTTTCAATATCAATGTCCATCGTGGTCACGTGGTCGGCGTGGCGGCAGGCGTGAGGTCGCGTCGTTTAACCCACTTCTGTGAGAGCTCCTCAACAATGATTTCATAATTCCATACAAACAATTAGCTAATAGAAACTGTTTCCGACACAGTCTCATCATGACTCACTCGTGTACTTCACAATAATTAAGTATGTGACAAAAGATAAATAAATACATTACAAACTAAATGCTTACGTTTCGCTTTTCCGATTACAAAAAGTGTTTTCCTTCAAAATAAAGTTCTATAGATTTTTTAAAATTTTAGTTCGATTTAAATTGTTTGGGACTTTTTATATTTTTATATTTCCAAATATAATTTAATCACAATGAATATATACGAGTATATATTGTTAGTTATTGCGTGTTTAACGTATTTAAATATTTTACAATAATATAATATACAATTCAATATATGTATATTTCAATGTACTATTAGTTGACCAATAATAATGTCGAAAGGATAAAACACAATAATTACTTAAAGTGACGATCTTTGTAGTACATTTTTAGCTTGTCAATAGAACATCGTTATCAGTAATGTGATAAGTTTATGATTTTCTTTTATCAACAAATAACAATTTACACTGAAAGGCCATCGCACTTTGCCGTTCTAATAAATGCTTCATTAGATAGAATTGGATGAAAGATCATTTTAACTTTTAACGTCGTTATGTGGTGATAAGCGGGCGCGGCGCGGCGTGGCGCGGCGTGGCGCGGCGTGGCGCATGGCAGCGGTCAACGTAAACGAGCGCATGATTGGGAGCTCATGGCTTTGGCTCGTGGCCGGCTCCTCGTGAGCGATCATGTGATTGTGATGAGTCCACTTAAGCGAATAAATACTCGACCGCTACCCACAAACCACTATTATCAATATTAACTTCTGTTTACAATTTTAATTTTAGAATAGCTTGCAGTGCCAACGACATGGTATCTCCTTTGTTATTTAACTCCTTATTACCTTCATTGCACTATTTTTATATCAGAAACTAGTTACAGATTCGAAACACATTAAACTCCAAAAATTGTTGTACCTACATTTTTATACGTAACACACAAGCGAATTAAAATTTGGAATATAAAATAACATTGTTAGTGGTCTTCGTTTAACACTGCGATAATAACTGTCATTATCTTAATAACTTCCGTGACTACGACATCCTTTTAATTACACGTATATATGATACCATTGAGCAGTAGAAATATGCAACTAAACGACCAACTGTATATCTGTAAGAAAACTCTATCATAAACACAACAATGCAATAAGAGTTTTTATCGTCAATGTAAACATTACAACTATCCAATATATCTCAAACTTGCTGCTATCTGCGACTTCTCCGTACAACTTAAAAAAACTAGTAACAACTATAGCCTATGTTAACACTGATAACGTAGCTTTTTAATAGTGCAAGAATTTTTGCTTTCGGCCCAATAGTTTTTGAGTTATTTTAATACTTATAAAAATACAAATCTTTCCTCTTTATTTTAGAAATTTCAATCTCCCATTTCTATTTAATTTGCCTTTAAATGGCCTGTATGTGATTATTACAATTTTCTCTTTATAATTGGACTTTAGCCATGGAGAACGATAAAAATTTGAAAGAAAGTAAAAGAAAAGTATACATACCAAGAAAACCCTCAGTTACACGAAAGTGTCCGTTTGTAATTTAATTGAATGATGCAGAGGATTAACGACGAAGGAGGTTTTACAATTTTTTGGTTGATTTTTGCTGTCCAGCTTTATATGTTGCTAATTATGTTAAAAGATAGTAACTAGTTATAAATTTAAATTGTAATTTATTTTAGAGCATCTGAAAATATTTATGACTTATTTCAGAGCTTTATAAACTTTTGTATGTTTAATAAATCAGATATCTTAAAAAGTTATTAGTAAGGCGTTAAATATAAAAAATAATTAATTATTGTTCTGCTGGAAAATTAAAAATATGTTTGTAAAATCTTGGTTGCAGTTAGCCAAGATTTAAAACAACTACTAACGCCATCTATTTAAATATAACTGCTATAAATAGTTCGTTCATTGACATTTTTAGGAAAATGCATAAATGTGTATTATAATTTAAATGTTTATTAAAACAAATTGTTCTTAACGTTCAGAATTGAATCTAACAATTAATATGTGAAATAAAAAGGAAAATAACAAGATGAACTATAAGGTGAAGTTAGGACTATAGCTAATGATTGCGTACAATCTGACGAGGTACATATTAGCATGGTTTTCTGCTGCCGAAATCATTTATACAAATATATATTGTCATCCTTCTCATTTTGTTCACAAAAATAGAGATAACGTTATGTTATTGTACTGGTCTTTCGGCAGTGGCAACCCTCGGTATTGACTATTTGCTAAGTTATTGGAGGCTTCATGTCAAAATGTGTGAAGGCGGACAATACAAAGCTGCTTTCAGTGCATTGTCGACTGCCGAACACTGTAAGACGCGCGCGTGCAAAGTAATTGAGTGATAAAAAAACTTTGTCCGCAGAATGCGTTGTCTACGCTAAAAACGAATAAAGTTATTTTTTTTTTCGAAATGGTTTTAATACATCCGTGTAAATAATAAATCATATAAATGTACGTATTACTTTATTCCATGAATTAAAGTGAATTAAAAAAAATCTTAACTGCCCAAAAATTTAGAAACTATAGTTAACGCATAAAATATAGAGAAAACCTCTAGAACAAATAAACTAACACCGAATAATTCAATTCATTTTCTTTAATAACTCTTTTAAGTATTTTTCTTCTATTAATAATTTATTTTTGTCTCCAGGTTCGAAAAACGAGCATCCGAATGACTGCAATTAAAGAATATCCTTTCGACCTTAGCGATTTGCAAAAGCAAAACGCAGGAGGCGAGCAACGACGCGCGCCGGAACTCAACCCCGAGCAGCTGCCCCTTCCTGCGATCGCGCCTATAACCGCTACGGAAACCGCTCCCGCTGAAGGCAAGAGAAAAGTTTCTATTATGGCTGACGAAAAAAGCAAAGACAGAGAAAATCTGCCATCAGACAGGTAAGTTAGTTACATTTTTACAAGTTGAACATATTGGCTTTTAAATGTTACATGTTATTTTTACAAGTTGAATATATGCATTTAAAATTTTTATCGACCTCTGATCATGTAACATAAATTAAGGCACAGTTATTACTTAGTTGTCATTGTTATATGACTTTGTCTATATAGGTGTATTTATCTCTAATATAAAATATTAAAATATGACAATAGATAGCATTTTGTAGATAATTTTTTCCTGGAAACAAATCTTATAATTCAAAACGTGTACCTGATAGTCAGGGCCGTTCATCTTAACTTGGCCACCGGCGCTGCGTGTCTATTCTATATAAACTTCCGCTATTGACCAATCCTATAATTTTCCTCGTAAATATTGTCACACCTTGTAAATGAGGTCAGTTTTTCTTACCATAGAACGACCAAAGTAATTCCATCGTTGTTTGCAAAGAAATAAATAAGCGTCCTTAACTTTTGCCTCTTTGTATGTCTACAATTAAAACACCATAAGGTGCAAGTATGATTTAAAGTTGGCCTAAGTTATTATAAAACACATGAAATAAATTGCCTTAACTCGGGTTTAACTAGTTTTAATACTTTCCTGGAATAAATTTAAATATTTATGTTATCAATACTGAGTAAGGGATTTTAATTTATTATTAAATTTTTGGAATACAGCATTCGCAAAGATCGACTGATTGTGCCATAAGTAAATCTGAGAGCGCGCCTGTAAGAATTGACTAGCAATTTTTCAAAAAATAAGTATTGAATCTTCTTGAATAATGCTCATGCAATAGCAGTTCTCAATAAAAATACTTGAAAAATATTTGACTGATAATATTGAGTATAATATTAAATAAATAAAATATTTCTGCCATCTATCCCATGAAACACATATTTCAGAGGATTAATTTAATAATTAGTTATTAAAACTGTCAACTGTCACAAACATGGTAGTTAGAAAAGCTGTTTTAAATATTCCATGTGCATCTCTGTTAATATCTGCCTATTAATATTAGTTCAATATCATATTTTCATAAAATTGTTATCTGTGGTATAAGTACGTGTCATAAACGTTTTTACGACCTATACTAGGAATGTTTTTAATATTATATTTAATGAAATGTTATATACTAGTGTGAAAAGTTGTTATTTCAGATTAGTGAAGTTTGTTTTTTACAATCGTGAATAATACTAAAAGTATTGTTATTTTGTCATTTTATTAGTAACTTATTATTTTTCCAATGACTTCATTACTAATTAGTTATGTCTTCTTTTGTGACAAATAGAAATTTCTTTTTTCAATAACTACAAGTTTTACAATGTTTTATTGTAATTTATCATCAAAAATATAAATCCTCCAAAAGTTTTGACATTGCGAGTGATTCATGTCATTGTTTTTAAATGAACTATAGCGAAGCCATTGAGCGAAACTAAATTGCCTTTTCTTATTCAAAACATTTGAACAATGTATTGTTTGAATTAAGTAGATATTTTTAGTAAAAGCATCAACATTTATTTATTTCAGTAAACATCTGTAGCTAATCTGTACTTCAGTAATAGTCAATTGCTACATTTAAGCAAAATAAAAAGAAATATTTCCTAGGTATACATCCTCATTAGAAATTGCATTTGTTAGTTATTTTAATTGTAAACCCTCTTCGATGTCAGCGAAAAAAACAAAAACAAAACGACATCTCTCTAGAATCGGAAAACGAAGCTTGTAAAGTACTAATAATCAGGTTAAAAGTGGTCTCATAAAGTCTACTTACTGGATAAGGGTTACTTTGCTATATTTAACATGACTTTATAGTTTTCACGTGATTCATTCGTCGTACAAACATTCCGTTCATTATTGATACGCATCATGTGACTGTATTTTATTTGTGAAAGCTGTAATAACAGACAGTCATTTACAATAATCGCCGTCTGTCCGTTAATTAAAAATTACAAAGTAGATATACGCAATCTGTTTGCTGTCTCAAAGTAGAGCATAAGTAGCTACTTAATCTTTCTTATCTTACTGCCACTGTGTTTATATAATATTCGATATCATGATTATATATTATTATTTTTTTTTTATTTCTTGTTGTAAGAAATATGGAAATCGGCATTGATTTTATTTAAAAAAAATTATCACAAAATAATTAAAAGGTAATCAATTAAAAATAACTTTTACAAAAACTTATAGAAAAATACAAATTAATTTTGTTTTATTACGTTACGCAAAACTATTTGATACTCGTAAATACATTAATGTACTTAGTTTCGGTAATTTGTGTAACAAATCGATATGTAGATCTTATAGACACACCATTAATAATGCTCAAAACCAGAGTAGGCTGTACTCTTATTGTATGGTCGTAGTTGTATTTGTAACGAAGCAATACCTTCGAGTAAGACCGAAACAGAATGACGCAACAAGTGTACCTATACAAATGAACTAGTACAACGATCACGTGCTACAACTGTTCATTGTTGCATGTATATCATTTCATTATATTGCTTTGTTATGGTATGGTTTTAGCTCGTAAATATTTTCAACAATGTGACAACATGGGTTGGTAGTTTAAAACTGTAAAATGTCACTATTAAACATTGACATAACTACATTTATGAGATAGAATGACTTTAAAGACCTTAGTCATATAAATATGCATGGATTTCAAAACCGTGTCGTATAAAACGGGTCACAACCTACCCTGAGACTATGCATGCACGGCGGGCCTAATATGAAAACAATGGGATAATGGAGGATACAGTGGTACTTATCTACTCGATGCTTGCCTCACCGCCTGAAGTGTCTGGTCTCTGTCGGTGCCAATCGAGTCAACTTCTGTCAAGCTTATAGGCACA